CACGCACACGTCAGGTCAGGGCTTGCGGGGGCAGCGGGGGCCTGGCCGTTGGGGTGCCGGACCCACATGGCCGACTGCGGCCTCCGTCCCTGAGCGGGCACTGCCGGGCCAGGCGCCCTCCCTTCCCCTCTGTCTCGCTCAGGTGAGCTCGCGCGCCCGGGCCAGTGTCTAGAAGCAGGCCTGCGAGGAAGGGAGAGGCGCTGCGCGGGGCGGCCGTGAGCAGTGGCTTCTGTCCTAGGGCGGCGGCAGATCCACCACCTGGGGAGCCAGCTGCAGCTGAACCAGCACTGCCTGGACACCCCCTTCAACTTCTTCAAGATGGCCGTGAGCAAGCACCTCACCCGCGGCCGCAAGATGGCGCACGTCATTGCCGCCTGCCTCTACCTGGTCTGCCGCACGGAGGGCACGCCACGTATCCTTTGGGGGGACGCCTCGGTTCTGGCCGGGCTCCCGAGCACAGTGGCCGCAGCCACGGTGCCCTGCCCTCGGTCTCCGTGGAAGGGCCCCGCTGGACGCACGGCTCAGTTGCTGCAGGGCTTCCTGCTCTAGTGGGACCTCCAGGCTCGGGACGGGTGAGCACGCCTGCGCCCCTGCACCCTCAGGGACACGGAGTCAGGCTCTCCTCCTGCCGGTGCTCTGAGGTGGCCGCAGCACACCATGTTGGGGGCAGTACGGTGCTGGCGGCTGAGCCAGGCTCTGGCCATGGGGCAGGTGCCCTCTGGGAAGGTGACCGCCATCTGGGCCATCCCGAGCTGAGACCTCTGGGCACTCCCAGGTCCCCAGGCCTCGCCCAGCCAGGACCTGGCAGCTCTGTCTTCCTGTGGGAGCCCGTGGGAGCTCGCCCAGCCCATCGCGCAGGCCGGAATATCCCCGTGTGCCGGGACGTGTACGCCCTCACTCTGCTCTCCCGCTGCTCCGGGCTCTGGTGCCCGTCCCGTACCGGCCTGCCTCTGCTTCTTTCTGGGAGGGGCCCCTCTGAGCAGGGCGCTCTGACATCGTCTCAGCCTGGTGAGCACAGAGCCACCTGCGGTCCGTCCTGACCACACCCCTACGCTGCTGCCGGGCGGTTCTCTGCGTGATGGCAGCTATCTGCATCCTCTGTATTCAGGATGCTTCGAGTGGAGGGCTGGCCAGGGGCAGGGGCCACAAGAAGCACTGGTCCTGGCTTAGCTGGGCACGCACCAGGTCCCCAGGCCCAGCCCTGCCAACCACACACCTGGCCCCTGGACCCGCCGTGTCCACATGAAGGCTGGTCGCCAGCCACGCCACTCGCGTGGGATCACCCATGTGCACCCCCAGCCTGGGCTGGCATGTCCTGCGTGTCCCACAGTGGGCTGTGACGGGGCCGTGCTCGGAGATGCTGGGCCACACGCCATGCGAGCCACTTACGTGCACCTCCAGGGCAGGCCTGGTTCCGAGCCGCAGAGCAGGTGCAGGGGCGCTGGTGAAGGCCTGGCTGTCCGTAGGGGTGCCCTGTACTTGGCACCGCTGCGCCATGCTCCGCAGGTGCTGGGGCACACCACCCTGACCTGTGAAGGCTGCTAAGGATGGGGCCACATGGCACGGGTAGGCCTTGGTGCGGGGCTGCTGGGCCCCTCGCCCTGGGGACGCCTGCCCGTGCCCAGGCTGGGCGCCGTCTCCCACGTGCCCTTGGGCCACGGCGCTTCCTGGGAGCGAGGGGGCAGGGC